TGCTTGTGATTTTTGCACATTGATTTTGTATCCTGAGACTTTGCTGAACTTGCTTATCAGTTTCAGGAGGTTTGGGGCTGAGACGATGGGGTCTTCTAGATATACAATCATGTTGTCTCCAAATAGAGACAATTTGACTTCCTCCTTTCCTATTGGAATACCCTTTATTTCTTTTTCTTGCCTGATTGCTCTGGCTCAGTCTTCCAGTACTATATTGAATGGGAGTGGTGAGAGAGGGCATCCTTGTCTAGTGCCAGATTTCAAAGGGAATGCTTCCAGTTTTTGCCCATTTAGTATGATATTGGCTGTTGGTTTGTCGTAAATAGCTTTTATTATTTTGAGATACGTTCCAACAATACCTAGCTTATTGAGGGTTTTTAGCATAAAGGGCTGTTGAATTTTGTCAAAGGCCTTCCCTGCATCAATTGAGATAATCATGTGGTTTTTGTCTTTGGTTCTGTTTATGTGGTGTATTACGTTTATAGACTTGCGTATGTTGAACCAGCCTTGCATCCCCGGGATGAAGCCTACTTGATCATGGTGGATAAGCTTTTTGATGTGCTCTTGCAATCGGCTTGCCAGTATTTTATTGAAGATATTTGCGCCTGTGTTCATCATGGATATTGGCCTGAAGTTTTCTTTTCTTGTTGAGTCTCTGCCGGGTTTTGGTATCAGGATGATGTTCGTCTCATAAAATGATTTGGGAAGGATTCCCTCTTTCTGGGGATGTCAAGATTTTTGAAGTTCAAAGCAGATGTGTGTGGAGGAAAAAACATCTGGTGAAGAGAATTTGCTTCATTGCGTGACACTGTTTCCCTGTACTCCTCAGTGGAGCGTCTGTTGAGCAGGTTGGCAGGTTTAATAATTAATTAATGATGAGGGAATGAGCCATTTATCTGAGGAACTCAATTTTGCGCCTTACTGCCTCTTTCTTCCCCACATGTCTGGCAAAGCCTTCAGAGGCTAGGATCATGGAATCACACAGTTGGGTCTCAACTCAAACACTTGTCTCCAGGCTTAACTAGCTTAGAGATATAAACAGACGGATGGCCTGGGGGACAGGGTATAGTGTTGAGCAATGCAGTCTTATTATCAGGGACTTTTGAAATTTTTATTGGAGTACATTACAACTTTAAGGATGCCTTAAAAAACTCAGAATTTTGAAGATATGTATTTGAATGTGACAGAGCTTTGTGTGCATCCCTGGATGTTTACAGTTTTCTTTTTGTAACTTTTTATTTAGGTATAATTTTACACATAGAGAAAAGTTCCAAGAATAGTACAAGGGACATTCATGATTCCTTTTCCGAGATTCAACCAGTGTTTTCATTTTCTTATGTTTGTTTTCCCATCCTCATTCCCTCCTCCCTCTACACGCATGCACACACACACACACACACAAACACAAACAAATGCATTTTTTTCCCTAAACTATTTGAGAGTGAGGTGGAGACATTGGGCTCCTGTATTCCTAATAACTTTGGTGAGTATTCCTTAAGAACAAGGCCATTCTACTAAATAATCACAGTGCAGTTATCAAAGTCATGGCTTTTAATATTGATATGACAGCACTGTCTAACCCGCAGTCCCTTTTCCAACTTTATCAGTTATCTCCATAATGTCCCTCATGACATCTCCTCTCACCACCGAGTCCAGAGTGCAATCCAGGATGACATGTGTTCAGTTGTCATGTCTCCTTTAAACAGGAAGTTTCCCAACTTTGTGTTTTCTGACTTTGGCGTTTTTGAAGAGTTCAAACCAGTTATTTAGTAGAGTGTTGCTATTTCAAGTCTGTTTGATGTTTTCTCATTTGATTCTGGTTATGTGTTTTTGTTAGGAAGACCAAATACCACAGAAGTTTTGTGTCTCAAGGTATTTTATCAAAAGGCATATGGTACTGATTTGTGCCTTCACTGGTGGTGTTAGCTTTGTTCAGTGAATTAAGTTGGAGTCTATCAAGTGCTTCCACAGTGAACTAACAGTTTTTCCAGTTACAAGAATTTTTTGGAGAGATATTTTGAAGCTATGTAAATAGCCTGCTCCTTGTCAAATTTCCACCTACTAGTTTTAGCAACCATGATTTTCTGTTATTTTTCTATACTTATTAGTTGACATTCTGCTGAAGGATGAGCTTTGTCTTCTCTTTATTTATTTGTTTGTATCAGTAAGGGTTCATTGGTTCTTTGTTCAGTGGTTATAATTCATTACGCTCATTATTTATTTTGATAGGCACAGATTTTGCCAGTGAGAGCCTTTCAGATTGACCCCTGGGTCTTTTTGTTAAGTCTCCTTTATTCTTTGAGCATTTTCTTTTTTTTTTTGAGACAGAGTCTCGCTCTTGTTGCCCAGGCTGGAGTGCAGTGGCATGATCTTCGCTCACTGCAACAACCTCCACCTTCTAGGTTCAGGCAGTTCTCCTGCCTCAGCCTCTTGAGTAGCTGGGACTACAGGCACTTGCCACCACACCTGGCTAATTTTTTGTATTTTTAGTGGAGATGGGGTTTCACCGTGTTAGCCAGGATGGTCTCGATCTCCTGCCCTCGTGATCCACCCACCTTGGCCTCCCAAAGTGCTGGGATTACAGGCATGAGCCACCATGCCCAGCCTCTTTGAGCATTTTCTTTATTTTCTGGCACAAGATGTACCAGATTCATTTTATATTTTCTCTGTGCCAGCTCTGGAATGGACATTTCTCTAAGAACCCCTGGTTCTTTTTTGTAGAGAATGGCATTTAGAAATTAAGGGCTGGGTGCAGTGGCTCATGCCTGTAATCTCAGCACTTTGGGAGGCTGAGGCGGGTAGATCACCTGAGGTCAGGAGTTCGAGACCAGCCTGGCCAACATGGTGAAACCCCATCTCTACTAAAAATACAAAATTAGCTGGGCGTGGTGGCACATGCCTGTAATCCCAGCTACTTGGAAGGCTGAGGCAGGAGAATTGCTTGTACCCAGGAGGCAGAGGCTGCAGTGAACTGAGATCATGCCATTGAACTTCAGCCTGGACAACAAGAGTGAAACTCCATCTCAAAAAAAAAAAAAAAAAAAAGGGAAATTAAGATCTGCAGTGTGTGTCATTTGTCTGTGTGCATGCATGTGGTTTAAAGAATCCACACTATGGAATATTACATTTACTAAATCATTGTATACAGTGTGTATGAGTGTGTGCATTTAATCGTTACAGATTCAAACAGAAGAGCATTTATTTTACATGTAATAATCATAAGTTTTGACAGGAAAGAAATACATTTTTCATTTCACAGTAAATGGCATTACACAGTTTTGAGTGATAAATCATCTTGACATTTATGAAGGAGCAAATGGAAAGTGGGGAACTGAGTATGTTAAATATAAAGCTATCTTTAACTGTTCTATTAAAAAGCAAAGATTTATTTTCCATCTGTGATCTGAATGTGCCTATTTGTGTTCTCTTTTACAACAGTGGAATTTCTGTGGAGCCACACAACAGAGAGCATGTGTGTTGGATATATGTCAGCCCAGGATGGGAAAGCCAAGGTAAGCGGGAAAGAACTGGTCATAACCTGAGAACCTTGTAGCCATTGCATAAACCTCTAACTAGCTAAGTTGATATGGATGAATTTTGTTAGCTTTTCTTGGGCAGTAACTCTATGATCTTTATAAGAATCTGAATAAGAACAGTTAACAATGCTAACAGCCCCAGAGAAAACCAGTATATCTATTTTGCTTTTGGTGACAGAGCAAGGGAGCATTAGGAAAAGCCTGCCCACCTTCCCCTACAGCTCCCATCTTTTTCCTTTTGCCCATTGCAATTAAGTTGAAAAGAGGAGACTGGGATTTGGGAAGAGAAAATGGGAGTGAAGCTGATAAGCTGACATAGGTGGATGATTCTGCAAGGAGTGTTAGAATAAAGGAAGCTAAATCAAAGCAAGCTTTGACTCTAGAAAGCATCCTGCATGTTTGATGGCACAGTGGCTGACATGCTTGCAAGTATGACCTGTCTCATCTTTCAGTGTGTTCTGTCATGCCCTGACATGATGTCTTCATGGGCAGAAGCAGTGGTCTTTGTCCACATGCCACATGCCTGTGGCACACGTCCCTCAGTGAGTTACAGTAATTACATAGACACCCACATACTGTCTCCAGAGTTGCTTGGCTTCCCTGGGTTCTTGAAGGTTGAGCCTGGGAGTAAGCAACGTGATTTATGGATTTTATTTTATATTGACCTCATGTTCTTCTTGTTCATAAAATTTTTAGGAACAGCTGTGGCCTATGATGTTTACTTGGCATTAAAGTATCTCAGTTGTAAAGCTGTGAAGTTGGGCAGCCTTGTTTTTAAAGGAAATGATTTATTTTGTACATTTTGACTTATAAAATAAGACTTCTGATATGAACCGTCTGATACAGATTGAATCATAAAGGATAAATACAATAAAGAGCACTTTATTGTTTATTTGCTATATAATACCCATCCAGACTGTCCTCTGTATATTATCCAGCCAGCGAGTAGCTCCACAGAACTTCTGTGAATAATGTAAAGAGCATTTAATCAGAGAAGGATTGGCTTATATTGTGAAAATATTACTGAGATCCCTTTGTTTCACCTTCACCTGGTACAATATTCACATTGTGTTAGTAGACCTATTTCCTAAGAGAATGCATAAAAGATTGTTTCATAATTTATGTAGAATGGAAATATGTTTGCCCATTTTAAAGGTGATTTAAGGGTTTAGAACAGCACTGTCTAATAGAATTTTGTGTGATGTAAACATTATATATCTCTATTTTTCAACAGGAAAGCTACTAGCCACATGTGGTTATTGATCACTTAAATGTAGCTAGTTTGATTGAGGAACTGAATTTTAAAATTTTACTTAATTTTAAATAGCCACATGTGGCTCGTGGTTACCATATTGAACAGTACAAGTTTAATAAGTAAGTGGGGAAAATGGTTATTCATATTTTCAGATTCATTTCTTCTCAGTGACAAAAGAGTTCCCAAATAGAAAACAGCATGATAAACCCCAAGAATCCTTGCATAGGAATAGCTTGCAGTCATTTCAGTTTCTCTGTCCCCTTACATATTCATTCAGAACTAAGATTGCTTTTTAACAAAAGAATGTGTCTGAGGTGGACTTCAGCACTGAAGCCAGTCTGGTGGGATATGATTATGTTATTAGGTCACTTGTGTGGAAATATTTTTGTTATCCTTGCTGGTGGCCCGTGGAAGACACCTTACTATTTAATGTAAAATATAGGTAGTAAAGAGTGGAGAGTCCTGCTATGAGCCCAAAGATATTTGGCCTCCAGTTATAGAGCTTGACATCTGGTAGACATGGTTTTCTTATTGTTGGTAAATTCTCCAGTTGGTAATCAATTTGGCAAGGAGATGCAGCTGGTCCTCTTGCCTGTCTTGTAAATTATGTTTTTGACCTTCCTTGAGGAGAGTTAATCCCTTTTCCTTTCTTTCTCCTTTGAGCCTGTGACTACAAATACTTTCAAGAAAAATAAAAAAAAGAAAGACAACCCCAAAACAAAAACACTAATGATTTGGCTGCTGAATTCTATTGATCAAAAAGAAAAATTATCTCTTTTATTATAAAGTCTAGAATTTTATTGTATTGCAAGTAAGACAAAGTTATAGATGAGAAGCTGAGCCCAAAAGAGAAAGGGGGTTATAAAAAGTTTGTATTCTATTTAAGCTTTGGACCTATCTCTCCCTCTGATTTCCTGACTTCTGTAAAAGAATAGTCGAACCACTAGTGGCATACCTGTTCAGTATCATGACTGGTTTGTGAAGCATGTTCCTCCATAATGTTGAGAGCCGTGGTAGCAAAATGAGTACAAAGGCATCTTAAAGTATTTAAAATTTAAAAACTATTTTTAAAAGTTCAAAAAAATGTGCCCTGCTTTTCAAAAATTGTCTTCTTTCTGTGTGTTACCAAACTCAGAAACTGAAGCCACCTGGCCATTTGAGCATATATAAGGTAGCTGTGTTTAATCCGAGATAAGGCTTTGAATTAAGGCTTAGCTCAAAAATCATAATGCTTAGAAAAGGCTGGATGATAATCAATATCATTGTAACAGGAATGCATATATAATTTGAATAAGTAGAGCTAAGTTTTTTTTTACAAGTCTCTTTTTTTAAAGAATGTTCTTGCAATTATATCATTTAATTTATAAACTACTTTGATAGCATAAGTTAAATATATCTTTTTAAGGAGCCAAAATTAGGGTATTGGTACCAGCTGGATTTCAAAAACAAATTGCCCATATCCTACCCAGATAGCAGACAGTTAATGAAGAGTTTTTAATAAACACCCAGTGTGCATGGACTACTGTAATAGAAACAGATGTTAAAACTGGCATGGAACTTATTCAACTATAATACATGAAATTAGGTTTCTTTTATTATATAGAGGTCACTTTTTATAACTGTGGTGAAAATACTGTTATAAAAATTTCCTTGAGGAGGAGCAGACTATTTTATAGTCTTTAAGCATCCCTCCACAGACTTCTTATTAGTTATAGGGAAAAATAATAACTATATAATGGAAAAACCAGGCAACACCTTGACCATGTGATCAAAATTAATAGCACCAATGAGGGGCAGATGGACAACATGTGCCTCTGGCTATGATAACTTGAGGATACAGTATCACTTGTGTAGTATGACATCTGGAAATGCATAACCTGAACCTAACTAACTGTGAAGAAACATCAGACAAATTTAAAATGAGGAACATTTTGTGAAGAAAGAAAAAAAGAACCATGTTCTTCAATAATGTCAATGTCATAAAAGACAGAGGTTGCAGAAATGTTCCAGAGTAAACAATACTAAAGAGTTGTGACAACTAAATGCAGTAACTGGTCCTAGACTAGATTCTATATTGGAAAAATGCTATAAATGCATTATTAGGCCAATTTACGAAATTGGAATATAGATGGTAAAAAGTGTCTTATCATTGTTAAACTTACGGAAGTTAATTACTGTGGTGTATAATATTTTTATTCTTAGGAAATATGCACTGACATATCTAGTGGTAAAGAGCCATAATATAGACAATATTTTCTCAGTGCTTCAGAAAAACGTATCATGTGGATGGATGGATACAGCAATAGCAAATTGCAAAGCAAATGGAGCAAAATGTTAACAGTAGGTGAACCTTGTTAAAGGATGTATAGATCTTCCGAAAACTACTCCATAATTCTTAAATTATTTTCAAATTAAAAATTTTTTAAATGTCACTCTTGGGTATTGTGGCACATTTGATTAGTTCTTTGGGCCTTGTAATTGAAATGATACAGCTCAAAAAATATCCTTGGTTTGTAACTGAGTCTGCATTGGATGAGTGATTACATTCCCCCAAATAATTGCCTTTTTCTCATTTTGAGTTCCTGACTAGAATGACCAAATATTCAGATAATAACACATCTCTTACAAATATTTTGCAAAAATATTTCTATAATAGCTTCTTGTTTTCCAGTGGTATCAAAGAGAGATTAAGCTTTTTCATGATCAAGGTGCTGTCCTCTTAGGATGTTTTTTGTTATATTACTCAGCTTTTCTCAAAAAAAAAATTTATTCAACAAATATTTGTGATGTTTCTCTGCCTTGTGTGACAAACCCTGTGTCATCCTCTGACACATGGTAGTGAAACAGGACAGATCTTGCCCATACCATATTTCCCTAACCTAGGGAAAGCACAGGGCACTGGATGATAACTCAGTGATATTTACATTTTGTTTTTAACATTTTTCTATTTTAATACTATGAAGTCTTCCAAACCTCATGAGGTCATGCCAGGATTTCTATTCTTGGCAGATCTGTCTAGTTCTTTGGGCCTTGCAGTTAAAATAAATAAATATTGGGATAGGTGCAATGCCAGGAAGTTGGAGCCTGGGTTGCCCTCCCACTCCATGCACACTGTGATCTGTGGTTTGATCACTGTGCCTCTGGATCCCAGAGGCCTCATCTGTAATATGAGAATAAGAAATCCTTACTTCGCGTTAAGCCCTTCCTGTGATAAGATATGATAAGAATGAGGAAGCAAAACATTACCTGTCTGAAGACAGATGACTAGACCCCATTAAGTCCTTGATGTTGCTTCCAATCTGCAGAATTCCAATTCAACATTCCAGATTACATGAACAAATATGTTGTCATTCAGTTTTCAGTAGGATTTTCGTAATACCACTGTTGTAGTATCTACTATGTTCCAACATGTTTTATCTTCACGAAGATGGTTTCCAGGGCTTTTTAAAAACTCAACGAATGTATATTTACGAAGGATAGCAGAGATGAAATTTCGAGTGCTTTTTGCTAGGCTTACAGCTTACCTCACACAAAGCTATGGGAAGAAGACTTAAATATAAAACATGACATGCACAAGAGGTAGCTATCAAAAGAAGTGAAAAGAAAATTCTGCTTCTAAATAGAATGAAGAAATTTGCAAGAGACTGTTGCTTCTACTCCCAACTATGTTAATGAGCTGCATAAACTATAGAATCATAAATTTTTAAAAAGTATCCAGAGA